TTTGTTAGCGGGAGTGATACATTTATAGAGCTCTACAGCTCTTTACAGGGAAATAAAGAAAAACACAAGAATAACACAAGAAAAACAATAAATTTTCACAGCCAATTAATACGGAAGAAACTATAAAATATATGCAGCTTTAACGGTTTTCACTGAGGGACGATTCTGTTATATCAGGAGGATGATTGCATTCCAGTTATCGGCCATGCGTGTTTGTCTGGGAGCTGTGAGATGAGTTGACATGTTGACTGGGACCTTTCACTGATCTGGACAAGTTAGCACACTTATATTCTTGAGTCGACTGTTGCTAGTTGTTTTTCACATTCTCCCTCAAACTTGTCAGGGAAGCAGTCGATGAACCACTCCAAGTTTTCCCTGAATACTTACCTGTGTTTGTGACAGGCCTTGGTGAGAATTGGGGTCTGATCATATGACGGCACGTATCTAATATCGAGAGCTCCTTTTTTACTTTGTCACGAATGAAGTGAACATCAACTTCAATAAGTTTGGTTTGTGAATGAAAAACATGATTGCTTGCAAGAGCCGTGGCACTTATATTATCGCACCAGGCTATCGGAGTTTGTGGAGTAGTGATGTTTATCTTTTTGAGTAAGGAATCCAGCCAGGTGATTTCACAAGCTAGATGGGCCAAGGCTCTGTACTCAGATTCGACACTTGACCTTTATACAACATTCTGCTTCTTTGAACTCTAGGAGATCAAATTCTCTCTAAGATAGATGTAGTAACCCGAGGTCGAGCAGTGATCATCCTTTGAGCAGGCCTAGTCGGCATCTGAATACCCAATAATGTTTAGTCTATCGCTAGGTTTAATGTGGAGACCGACATTAGTCGTTCCTTTGAGATATCAGAGAACTTTTTTCAAGGCTTTCATGTAAAGATCAGTTGGTTCTTGCAAGAATTAGCTAAGTTTGTTGACAATGAACGATATATCTAGCCTTGTGTGAGTTAGATATTGAAGAGATCCTATCATTTTTCGATAAAGAGTCGGATCTTTCAGCTCTTCTCCTTCTCCAGTGGACAAGTTGTTACCGATTACTGCCGGTGTCGGACATGGTTTAGCAGAGAGCATGTTGCCTCTTTTAAGGAGTTCTTTAATGTATTTTGTTTGAGTAAGGAAGAGACCAGTGTCATCCCATGTTGCTTCGATGCCGATGAAGAGATGAATGTTTCCAAGATCTTTTAGTGCAAAAAAATTATGAAGTTGGTTAATGACACTTAGCATCATCTCTTGTCTGTTTCCTGTAATAATTATATCATCAATATAGATTAGGATGAAGATTTTGGTTGTCTCTGTAAGGAAGAAAAAGAGAGATGTATCTGCTTGTGAGTTTTTGAAGCCCTATTCGAGCAGTAAGGATTTGAGCTTGTCAAACCATGCTCTTGGAGCTTGCTTGAGTCCATACAGAGCTTTGTTGAGTTGGCAAACATAGTTAGAGTCTTTAGGATCTTCGAAGCCTTTAGGTTACTTTATGAAAACCGTCTCTTTTAATTTTCTATTTAGGAAGCATTGTTTACATACAGTTGTTTGATATTCCACCCGTTTGTTACTGCTAGAACCAGAATCACTCAAAGGGTTGATGCCTTAATTACTGGGCTGAAGTTTTGATGGAAGTCTATTCCAGGTGTTTGATGAAACCCTTTGCCATTAGTCTAGCTTTACACCATTGGAAGCTTCCATCGGCGTTGGTCGTGATTTTGTAAACCCATTTGTTGCCAACTAGGTTCACAGGATGATGAGGAACCAGCTTCCATGTCTGATTATTCCTTAGGGCAGACATTTCTTCTTCCATGGCCAATTTTCAGTGGGGAATTCTGGTTGCTCCAGTAATCAAAGTAGGTGTTGTAAGATTTCTTACCATGACTGCTTTGAATAGTTGGAAGTCTTGTGGCAGGTTCTTCAATCTAAATATCTCAGCTTGAACTCTGGTCATCATCTGGTGTCTTGGAGCTTCTGTCAGGGTATTTTCGGCTTGTACTCTCTCTTCTTCTTGATCTGATAGTGTAATGCTTTGATTGGGAGAAGACATCGGTTCTTCTTACAATAAATTGTCACTGGTTTGAGGATCTCTTGGTGAGTGTTGCAGTGAGGACTCTGCCATAGGGAAGAAGCTGGTGTTAGAGTTTCTTCAACGACTTGTCTGCTCGAACTCCTTGGAAAGAAAGCTGATGTACGGGTTGGAAATATATTCAAACCAGGAAGGTAATGTGACTCTAGAGACAGTTTTGAGTTGATGTATTTTCACGAAACTATGGTGATAGGGGAATTCAAGTTTGAAGACAACATTTCTGGATACATACATCTCACCGATGGAGCTGAGACATTTGTATCATTTGTTTAGAGAACTGTAACAAAAAAAAATACATTTTATTGAGTTGAAGGTGAGCTTGTGATTCTGATATGGTCGTAGGCAAGGAAAACAGGCACACCCAACAGTTTTTAGCTGTTTGTAGTTAGGTTTTTTGTGGTAAAACTTTTCAAGTGGTGAGGACTGATTCAAGATTGGTGTAGGCATTGTATTAATCAAGAATACAATTGTTTCAAAAACATTAAGCCAATATTTCAATGGCACACCCGACTCGGCAAAGAGGGTGAGACCGGTTTCGGTTATATCCCGATGTTTTCTTTCAGCTTGTCTGTTTTGAGTTGATGAGTAGAGACATGAGTATCTAATCTTAATTCCATTATTTTGAAGAGTCTGGGCCAGACCAGTGAATTTTCTTCCCATGTCTGATTGAAGACACTTTATTTTCTTCCCAAACTGGATTTCTGTTTGGTGTTTGAACAGAGTAAAAGCCTGAAAAACTTCTAATTTTTGTTTCAGTGGATAAAGCCAAGTGAATTGATTGTAATTGTCAATGAAAATTACATAATACCTATGGCTTGAGAGTGAAGGGAGAGTAGATGGTCCCCAGGCATTGGTATGAACAATTTCGAAGGGTGTTTTTGCATGTGATAAAGACAGAGAGTAAAGAAGAAGATGAGACTTGCTTAGTTGACACGCATCACAAAAAATATTTTCATTTAACTTAAATGATTCATTACATTTTTTAAAATGACAGATAAGGTTTTTGAAGATGGATGTTCGAGTCTTCTATGCCACATCAATGTTCTTGATTCAGGGGTTTGGTTGTTTTTGCTAGTGATTAAGGCTTGACAGGGAGGATGATAAAGAGAAATTGGTCTTGAGGAGCCCAAGTAGTATAACCCATCTTTAAGCTTCCCTAATAGCAGCACCTTACTTGTGGTTTTGTCCTTCATAAAACAAGAGGATTAGTTAAAGATAACTTCAACATTGTTAGAAGAGGTAAGTTAAGAAACACTTAGTAAATTCTTATTGATTTTTGGTACATATAGCACTTTGTTTAGGGTTAATTTTTTGTTTTTGGGAGTGTAAATGTTTATCTTACCAATGTGTCTGATCGGCATTTTCTCACAATTTTCAAGTATGAGACTTTCACTTCCTTCATATTGTTGCTTCGACTGCAATATGTTTGCATCTCCAGTTTGCATGGTTGTTAGCACCACTGTCAACATACCAAAATGGATCTTTAAGGTTGTCTTCGGGAGTGGCCGAAAAGGTTGAGCTTTGATAGGAATTTAGGGAGTTTTTTGGGATGGCTCCCATATAGCTGTTGTCATAACGATAATAGCAGTGAGCGACAATGTGTCCAATTTTGCCACACACTTGGCAGATTGGTCTGGAGTTACCACTAAGTCTTACTCATCTTCTGGTGTTGTGACGACCTCTTCCGTTAAAAGGGTTGTTGCATCCTCCTTCTCTGTTAATCGATTGAAAAGGTAAGTTCTAATGAGTTTTGTTATTTCTGAAGCTAGAAAAATGTACTGAGGGACGTCCGAGGTTTAGAGTAGTCGTTGTTATGTTGAGTTGTTCCAACCGTCTTTCATAGTTGAGTAGTTGAGATTGAAGTTCGACCCAACTTATGCATTCTTTTTCCGTGATTTAACACACGAGTGGGTTGTATTCAGAGGAATCTAATCCAGCAAGAACTTGAGAGGTGAGATCTTGCAGTGTAACAGGGTGTCTTGTTAGAGCAAGGTTATCAGTAATTCCTTTGATGGATTTGAGATATTCTTCCATCTTTAAGTTGTCCTTTTGCATTTTAACGAATTCTCTTTTATAATAAATTATATTTGCTCATGTTTTTGCTGTGAAAAGATCCTAGATTCCATCCCATAGGAGTTTTGATGTTTAGTGCCCCATCAGTTCGGAGGCTATGTTTGTTTCAATCGAGCTGTAAAGCCAACCCAGTAGCATATGATCTTGTGCAAACTAGTCTTCGAATTCTGAATTCACTATGATTTCAACTTTAGTGCTTCATTCTGCAATTATTTCTGTGTGTTCTGGTGGGCTTGATTTGGCACTGGTGAGGAAACCTTCAAGTTTGTTTCCTCTTATGATTGGAAGTACCAAATTTTTCCAGAAGAGGAAGTTATCGTGATTGAGTTTCAGAGTACACACAGAGCTCATTGAGCTACTAGACAAAGTTTGAATTTTTTGAGGTGTTGGGCTGAAGGTTGAAGAGTTGTTGTTCTCTCCTGCCATTTTCTGGCTCTGATACTAAGTTAAGAAAACAGATTGCCTTGGTTAATATGAAAATTGAACAATTCACAGCTACTTGATTTTCATTCATATATAATTTTCTTAGCGGGAGTGATATATTTATAGAGCTCTACAGCTCTTTACAGGGAATCAAGGAAAAACACAAGAATAACATAAGAAAAACAAAAAAACTTTCACTGCCAATTAATGCGGAAGAAACCAGAAAATATATGCAGCTTTAACGATTTTCAGTGAGGGACGATTCTATTCTATCAAGAGGACGATTGCATTTCAGTTGTTGGCCATGCGTGTTTGTCTGAGAGCTATGGGATGAGTTGGCATGCTGACTGGGACCTTTCACTGATTTAGACAAGTTGGTACACTTGTATTTTTGAGTCGACTATTGCCCGTTGTTCTTCACACAGCGCACACAATATATGTATGTATATATATATATATATATAGCTTTGAGTCTTTTGATTGGGTTGCCTCATCAGTTCAAATAGGAGACATGATAATTTCGTATATGTTAAACAGAATATAAAGGATCGCTCTATTTTAAGCTCGTAAAATTTACAGAGAAAGTAGAAGACTAAAGCCAAAAAGAAGCTCAAATATATTTCTCCAACATTCTTCTTCACTTTTCTTTTTCTTGCTCGAAATGCTGTGCCAATATCTATGTTTGTATACTATTACATTAAGAATTGTCTCATATGATTTATGAACCTTAATATTTCATTAATTCTCAATCTATTCGAGCTTATCCTAAAAGATAAAATTTTGTGGCATGGAGCTTCATTTCAAAAAATTTCGAGCCCACTAAATAAGATGAAATTTTTAAAAATTTAGATCACAAGTTCATCTTCTTGGGCCTTACTACTACAACTTAAGGTAAGTGATTTTTTTTTTATATAAATTTTTTCTACAATTCAGCACTTTATGTTTTTATATTTTCCCCACAGAAATTATGCTATTGACTCCTTGTCATTTTTTAATACGATAACTTATTGATCTTCATATGAAAAAAAATTGGAAGTACCAAAATTTATCAATAATATTGTCATTTCCTTCAGTGAACAAGCATTCTCAGGTTTATTCATACATAACATTAGATGATCGTAACAAAAGAAAGAAAAAAAGAATTCCTTTGAAATTGAATGGAGACTCTTACTTTTTAGTCTTTAAATTTATCCAAATAATAAGATTAAAACAGTTATTTGACAGTAATAAGATAGTGAAAAATTCTAGTTATTTACCAACTTTTTTCGTTACTCTATATATCTCACCCTTCTCATTCCATGAAATATAGATATACAACCATATTACTTTTATTTATATTTTTTTTGTACTATTTAGTGTGTTTTTTTTTTTGTCAGCGGTATTTTTGTTAAATTTAGAATTTCACATGTGGTCCTCATTTCGAACTAGTGAACATAGAATTTATAGAATTAAATAAGTTTATAGTTAAATAGATAGAATGATAAAAAATATTCCATCCTCACTCTTTTCAATTTATTGAGATGAAGTACTAATACCACAGCGGCTTATAGAATGACATAATTAAATGATCTGCAAATTGAAGAACAAATTTCGTATTTGTTTTTCATCAATGGGAAATCCCAACTTCAAAAATTTAAACAAAACATTCCATTTTCCATTCCGACTGTTCAATAGTCGTTGAAGCTTCATGCCCATTGTTCCTCAATTGAAATACCAATTATTCAGTTATAATAATAGTTTGCTGGGGACTCTAATCCCCACTCCAAAAATCTACTTCACCATAAACCCAAAACATCATATGCAAAATATTCACTTTGCATTACTTCATAATGCATCTGATGCATAGGAACCATCCACCAAACTGAAAAATGAACGCAATCCAACGTTCATAAAAGATTATGTTCCAAAGGCCAGGCAATAATAACCTTCTGAAGGAAAGAAATAAATACCTAGATGTCTAGCAAAAAGCTTTACTATAACGTTAACAATTCACCAATATATTAAGCCAACAATCCGCACAAGAAAAAGAAAACTCCAGACTACAACAATTTAGCGGTCCTACAAATGAAAGCAGATCTGAAGCAATTAAAACCATGGAAAGTACGTGCTTTAGCACCCCCCAAATAAAAAAAAAATACTGAGTGACCTTGTATATTTTCCAGCCAAAGTTAGAGGCTCGGTTATTAACTAAGCCTTGCTGTCAATGCTCATTGGTTTCGCTTCCTTTGAAGTTGTTTTCTGCAAATCCATAATCAATGATCATGATGAAAATATAATTGAGAACAAATATGATGGTAATGACAAACAAAATGTAAATCTGCATTGTGAAGGAGTATTTCAAAAATAAGATCCCTTAAAAAACTACTGGAAATTTTTGCAAGACAATACCAAAGGAAATTAGCATATCTAACCATTTACCAGAAGCATAAATAGCATATTCTCATCCTTTTCAAGGAATCAGTGTCTTACATTTGATTCAAGAGACTCCAACTTATTCATTTTAGCAAACATGTTTCCATAAAATTTAGCTTCTTTTTTATTGTACTCCTTCATCTTCTCCTTCAAAGTTCTATACTCCAGCTTGACCTCCCTGATACACAAAAACCCGAGAATGACATAAAATGAAACAAGTGGAAGATGGAAATATATTGCACAAACCCAAGGCAGTAAAAAATTTCTGGTGCACACACCTGTTGTCAGGATCAATTTCAAGAGCCTTCTTAATATCCAGCTCGGCCAAATCCAAGTCAGCCAGCTGAATATTGGCCTGGGCTCTTCTGTACAAAGCTTTCACATTTCTACTCTCTAGTTCCAACACCTGTGTAAATGAAAATTAGCTTGGTGCACAGTTTGATATTAGCTTCAGGCTCAAACAAATAAAAACATCCCAACAAAATTTTATACCTTTGTGCACAGCTTCTCTGCCTGCTTGTAATCTTTCAATTTCAACTTGCAAGCTGCATTGTTTAAATTGCAAGCAACCTTCAATGCTTTGGACTGCTTTTTCTCTTCTTCTCCGAAGGAAGTATCATACTCAATGTATTTGACAGCCTATGGGGAAATCAAAAAACATTACACCCAACAAAAACAATTCACTTTTTTTTTTGACATAGTAACATGCTAAGCCTCTTAAAAAATAACATGCCACAAGCTACTTCTTGTTACTTCACGTACCTTCTCATATCTCTTGGAAGCTCTTGCATATTTTCCTGCCTTGAACAATACATTCCCTTCTTCCTTCTTTTTGCCAACTGCCTCAATCTTTTCTTGGGTGTTCATGTCCCAGGATTCCTTGTCCTAGAGAATGCAATAATTAATGAGTGAATGCAATCCCAAATTTTCCATGCAAATGGACATAACTAATGTAATCCAGAAACCTCATAGCTACTAACCTTGACAAAGGACACCAGCTCAACCTCGTAGTTAATAGTTGAGTTTGGTGGCACAACAGCCAACTCCTGCTTTGACTCAGAGGACCCAAATGCATATTCTGGTGCAATGGTCAATAATGCGACCTCACCCTTCTTCATTGTCACAACAGCTCTATCAAGCCCGTCAATGACTTGCTCTGATAAAAAATTCATTTCAAAAGGCAAATACAGTAAAATAGACAATAAAGAGAAAGTAACCCACTGCCGAGATAAGATAAGATATCATCAGTACCCTCTTCTGTTTTGAACTCAAACAACTCATCTTCATCATGGCCTTTCTTCAAGAACACAGTACCATCTTGCAGTTTCCCCATCAACTTCACTGCAAAAACCACAAGAACCTAATTTATCAGAAAATCCTACACTCTTTCAAAATAATTAAATAACAATTCCCATTCCAGCAGTGGAAACCACCTTTAACTACAGCTCCCTCATTAGGACGCTCATATCCTTCACCTTCCTTTAGAATCTTCTTGATAACTTTCTTGTCATCTGTTACTTCTGACACAGTCTTCCATGAAACCAGCTCCAGAGTGATTTGAAGTGTTGCATTTGGTGGAACAGCACCTTCATCGCCAGAGGCCGGCTTTCCCTTTTCCCCAAAACCATCTACCCAATAGATTTTGAGCAAGATCAGAAAGGCAGTCATACAACAGTATTCTAAAGACGATGAAAACCCCAAGATAGTGACTTACATTGTGGCTTCACTGTCAGAATAACCTTTTCTCCGTTCTTCATAGTTTTAACGGCCCTAGCCAATGCAGGGCAAAAGTGGCCTGTTTTAGAAACAAAAAGTGAGTACACTAGTTACACGAGTTAACTAATGAAGCAAATACCATATTATACGAAGGAGAGGAAGTACTAACCATCCTTCACAGTGAACTCTACACCATCAGATTTAGCAACAACTGTGCCATCCTCGAGTTGAGCCTCGTACTTAACTGCATTAGCAATAAATAAAAATGTAATTAATGAACAGAGTTAATTCCAGTTGGCATGAGTGGCATCAACAGGAGTAAGAATGTAACACACCAAACACTTCATCAAGGTCCTTCGGGTTCTCCCATTTATCTCCTTCAGCAAGAATTTTCTTAAATATTCCACCATCCTTGCATATGTCCTTGATGCTACTCCATGATAGCAGCTCAACGTCAAATTGGAGAGTGGCACTGGGAGGAATCGTAGGTGGTGAGCCAGATTCACCATAAGCCAGATTAGGTGGAATGGTAAATATGGCATTTTCACCTTTTTTCATTGTTTTGATACCTATGTCCCATCCTTTAATTACTTGGCCTACAAACACAACCAAAAAGTGTAACAAGAAAGGAGTTCAGTACCAAAAGAGAAGCCATAAAGACTAAATTGTTACTGAAAATGACGCAACTGAAAATCAGAAATCATATATAGTTAATTACTTCAAGTGACATGAAATGGGTCCCGTGAATAGCTATCTGAGTGTAGTAGAATAACACCACAATACCCTATCAAGCACCAAAAGCTGCCTACTTTTCCCTCCACAATTAATTTTTACTATTTGGTTTAACCATCAAAAGAAGATAAAGTGAGGAGACCCAAAATTTTCTGCCTCCAAGTTATGACTAAACAGTAAAAGGAAATACCGGCAGATTTTTGAAGTAAACCAGAATCAGTAGTATAAACAAATTAGTAAAAGAATAACAGCGATTGATTTTCCACCTAAGGACATGATAATATTCTTAAAAATCCAAAATTTGCAAAAATCCCTGTCCCAGGAGATTTATCATTGAGAGGAGTAAGTAAAAAACGAAATCAGATAGCTAAATACAGTTTTCTAAAAACCAAACAGCAGGATAACCAAAACTGGCAAAACTGCTAGTGCGGTGTTAACCAATATGAACAAACGCAGCAACTGTATAATAACATAAGCAGATTCCTAGCAACTACTCAAAAGGACTAGCCGAACAGCTTTGCAACTTGCAAGAATCTTAGTAATTTTTTATAAAAACTAATATGTCATCATCACCAATAACATAATGAGAAAACCTTAAAGAGTCTCACAGATCATATCCAAAGTTACAATCAGTATGTGTCAGACAGATTAAAATGCAGTTCCAAAAAGGCCACAGAAGAGCAAAGGCCATACATGTTGGACTTCTTTGAAGAATTTCCATAAATGCGCTAATCAACCAGTGACCATTACATCAATTTTTTTTTGGGGGCAATTCAGGGTAAGCATGAAAAAAGATAAAATTCATGAAGACAAAACGAGGAAAGAAAGTTAGCATTCTTCAACATTTTTCATACCCAATCATTAGACCACGATACACTAACCTAAGATATCAAACCCCAACAAAATGTATGTGGATAAAACTTTTTATCTCATAATAATTGAAATTAGAGATAAATCTGTGCTAAGCGAAGGAATCGTGTTTTGATGAATCCTCTTATAACAACATAGAGATAGTGCAGCGAACGCCTGCAATTAGCTGATAGATTCATTTCTAGAAAATGCCTCTTTATCACAAAGTGCTAATTTTAGATTAAATGAATCAATTTAGAAACTCTGCATTTGTCCTACCCGCCATGCCTACCTTCACGCAAATCTCAAACAATCAGAACACTCACTGTATTGAATTCCCTACAGGCGCAATATTCAATGAAGTAATAAAATGATAACATTCAGAAAGACGCAGACACTAGCAAAAGCGTCGCAGAAGAATCAGTCAATCACCTTGACCAAGGGTGAACTTGAACGGAGTTCCTCTGTCGCGACTCGAATCAAACTTAGTCCCATCCAACAATGTCCCCGTATAATGCACTGCAAAAGAAAACAAAAGCAGCAAAATAAATAAAAATCTACAACGAAAAAACAAGAAACGCAACAGAAACAAGTGCAAATGCCGTTACCTTCAACTTCGTCGCCGTTGTCAGGCCTGTCCCAACCTTCACCTTCCTTGACAAGCTTCTTCTTCAAACCTTCCTTTCCGATCTCCTTCTCCTCGCCAACCTTCATGATCGGAGGTTCGTCAGGAAGATCCAAGTCCTCGTTCATCTCCTCAGCTGGCGGGATATCGAAATCCTCGTCCATAGCTAATTAGAGCAGGAAATCGCACAGAGAAAGAAAGAATGACGTCGAAGGCTCTGGGAGAGCGAAAGAAGGCAGCGGTATGAGGAGGCGAGGGAGTGAGAGAAGGGATTTATGGTGTGTACAAGTGAGGCGAGTCTGCGTTCTAGAGACTTCTAAAAAGGGTTTGGAGTGTTAAAGAGAGAAATGGGGAGTTTTAAGTTGAATGTACGAAGGGTGAGGATGGTTCCAGATGGGTTTAAGAATTGCATTGCGTTTCGTGTTAGAGTTAAGATGTGATCTGGTGCTTCACGTCCTCGTTGCAGTTAACGCCGTTAAGATAATCAACGGCTGGGATTGTAAACTGCGGATTTTTTGTTTTTGTTTTTTTCAAGGAAAGTTGGGAAAGTGCGGATTATCATTAGTTACTTACTAATACGTGATTAATGATGTGAAGAATCTGCTGAATAACAAGTTTGAATTTATTTTTGGAACAAGTAACTCATTTAAGATTCAATAAAAAATAATCCTAAAAGAACTATTTAAAAATATTATATTAATTATGTAAAGAACCTGTTGGATAACAAGTTTGATTTTTTTTTTTTTTTAGCATAAGATAAAATATGATAATTTTGTTTTTATAAATGAGTCGGACTTTAAATCTATATCTTAAGTTAAAATTCAAATAATTGCAGCACTAAAACCAAGTGATTAAAACAACGGGAGTATAGTTCAAGGCTTCACAGTAAAAAAGTAAAATTTGAATATCACAACTAGTCCATGAATACCAAGTCCTCCTCCCACTTTGCGTATGACAAATTACATAAAGAACTGTCATTAATTTCAATCCAAATCCCACAACATCTTCGTCCTGGTCATTCCATTTTAATCCCCTTCATCTGTTTATTTAAGAAAGCATCTTTCTTTTTGTTCTAATAACTTATTTTGAATAAGCTTCCTTCCTAAAATAATGCCCTCGGTATTTTGTTGGCTGCCCGATCTGTCAGTGCTCTAGTGGCTCGTTTCCTTCAATGGGATGAAGTAGTTGACTGACAACACATTTTAAACAAGTCACAAAGTCTTTACTTTTTAAACAAGTCACAAAGGCTACCAACTCCAAATG